AGTCATTATATTTTTCAACAACAGTAAAATGTCAGAAAAAGAATCTAAGATATATCTAGACAATACACTTCTACAAACAGTAAAAGAAGTAAACTTTCTGGGAGTCACTTTTGATTGGAATGCAACATTTAAAGTACATTTTTCTAGAATTAATAACAAAGCAAAGCTGGTTATTGACAAACTCTTGTTTTTATGTTCAACTCTGAAAACCTCAAACTTATATATTCATATGAAACTAACTCAATAATCAATCCTATCATTTACTATGCAAGTCTAATCTGGGGTCTAAATTATCTATACCAATTGAATGTCTCCATAAACTACTTCATTTAGAAAGGTTTGTTCCTGGTTACGCTGTATGCCATAAAACTAATCATATTTGGTCTTGTCCTTTTTTTCTTAAAACAAATAATTAAATTCTACTACTGATTAAAATTTAAAAGTGATGATAACATAACTTTTTTACATCAGGAAATAATTAAACAAAGCAAAAATTTAAAAACCGAGCAGTTTTGGCAAAACAAGTTCTACAGAATCTGTAAATAGTAACTCTGACATATGCATTCAAGATAATGTTTAAGATTGAAATTATGGTTATACACTATTATTGGAATCTGCTATTTCTCAATCTGTAAATAAAGACCAAACTAACTTAAGTCAAAGCAATTATCACACTTGGTATATAAATTTATTATAAATACCATCTTCTCAACCATACATGTCTAAATCAATAAACCTCAATGTGAAAAGATTAATAGCCCAATTACATCTCAACAAATATTCACTTTTTATTAATAATACTTACATTTAACTTTTCAAACACTCAATTTTTTTGGAGTAAATCTAAAGCTTTCTCGATGTACCATCTACTTCAAAACTGTCAAGGTCTTGCAAGTATGCACAATTCACATGACATTAAATGAATACTAAACTGCAGTTCACCCCTCGAATTCAGAAAGAACTTAATCTCAATAAAAAAAAATCTTTACAAACTATATAACTACTTCATCAAGATTGTAGGAACATTAAAGAACTAACATAAGGAAACTCCATGTTTACTAATACTCTACAAAATTTAACAAAAGTGACAATGCAGAAACAGTTAAAACCATTCTCTCTGTCATGTTTATAACAGGTTTCTATGGAATCTATTGTAAAATAATTGTATGGGTTTTTGAAAGTAAATTCAATATATAAATTACTATTGTTAAATCACTAACATATGTACTACCCCCTGCAACAGGGAAACTCTTCCCTTCTGTTAATAAAGTTTGATTGATATTGATAAACTTATTAAATATGTCTCTTAACAAACTTCTCAAATTTGTTAATATATTAACAAAGTAGAAGAAAACTATCAAAAATATATTTTTATCAATTAAAATTATCATTAAAATATAACCTGAAAAATGATCAATGATCAATACCATTTAAATTATAATTACCTATCATTTCATTTTCTGTTACATTAGTCCATTAACATCTGCCCTCAAAATGAGAGCAAGAAGTTAAGTAAGAAGAGTTTGAGAAAGTTAAACTGTTTCATAAAAAATTTTTTAATATTTGAATATTAGAAGTATTGTAGATTGTTTCTCAAATCATAATTTTGGCTAATAAATCATTTTGGAAACAAACTGTTTGAAAATTTAAACATAGCAATTGATATTCAAGTATAACATAACATCAAGCCATGCACTATTGCTTTCTGCAGCCCAATCCAGCATTTTCATTCCTATCCTTATGTATTGCAATTTTTGTATAATTCCTTATATAAAAATATTAATTTTATATATATAGGCTGGTATCAACATTTGCA